TGGCTGCTATGAGGCCTGGAAGCTGGCTGAGTTTTTTGCTTAAAGGGGAACTGTGCAATTTGGCTGCACCATTATCCATCTTTGCCGAGCATATGGGTTGGGATGAAGATTTCCCTCTAGTGCTGGAGTCTGAGGAACTCTGAACAGCACAGCACGCTTACTGCTCTTCCTGGAGAGAACACAGTCTTCCAACAGACTGGAGTTTTCTAAATTCCTTGTGTCAAAGGAACTGGGTAAAGTTTTCATGCAATAGAATTAGAGGTCAAAGACCTGCTTCACCCAAGCCACTGCTGCCCACAATGATGCTACCTTGTCTGGGTCCAGATTCTCACTAGCAGTCCCTGAGAGATTTCTGTTGATACCAGAAAATGTTTACCCCACTTGGTCTGCAGTCTAGGTCCAGAACCAGCAGCCTGGATGCAGCTCTGGGTGTCCTGATCCAAAGCCACGCCCCTCCTTTCAGTGGGGTGTAATTCTGAAGATTGGTGCTTGTCCTGATCTCTAATTTGTATTTTAATCAAGTGGCCCTTGAGGGCCTGAAGGAGGAGTAGCCAGCCACCTTAGCAAGTCCTGTTCCAACACACTGCCCCCCCCCCCGACTTTGAGACTCATCTCTCCATCAATATTTCTCCCTGGGAAGAGCTTACACCAAGACTTTCACAATTGCAATCAAGGTTCTAGAGACAGAATTCTAACCCGCTATTGAACATTTTTGTTCTTGTTGATTGAAAGCTGCATTGAAAAAGCTTTCTAATGGTTTTGTAAGGAACAAAGGAGTAAAAGATTTCTTGGAACCAAGCAGGCTCCTAGTACGTTTCCAGTAAGTGAAAGATCCGATTCACAGATTTGTGGGGGAATGCAGCAGCTGGCTCCATCATGTAGATTCTGCCTTCTGCCAGATTTCAGTAATTACACACTGACTAGAAAGACAGGAATCCATAATTCTACTAGTTCAAATTCTTTAACTGCATAATGAATTGAACTATTATTCACTTGGAAAGATTTTTCTTAAAAAAAAACCCCCCAAATCCCACCCTCTGTTGCATTCTGTATTGTACGCATTACGGATAGAGAGCCTGCTGCCTACAAACCTCGAATATTAAAGCATAGAATTAATGCTACACTGACTCAGAAACAAACCCATAAAAAAAAAAAAAGATTAGCAAGATAAGTCACCTTGACAAACACATCTGGGAACCCAGCATTTCCTTTTTTTTGATTAACAGTAATTTCTCAGGGCCTGATCCTGAAAGATTGTTAGCACTTCACAGAAGCAGAGAGTAGTGGGTGCTCCTACCTGTTAGGAGAAGGGGTCTGATTTTGTATTTTATTCTCTGTTGAAAGAGAAGCTCCGATTTTCATCTTTATAATTCTGCTCAGTAAAGAAATCCGATTCCCTCCTTCCTTTGGGAACAGCATGCCCCTTCATATGATCTCAACAGGTCATATGCTGCAAAACAGCTAGTCAAAAAACCAAAGTGCATAGTATCTGTCGTTTCCAGTACCAATACTAGCAATCCGCTTTGCATAATTTATGAACAAACAGTCAAATCAATTCATTCAAGAGCAGTTATAAACTATTCAGCAGTCCCACAGAACAGTCAACAGCAGTGCCAGAATTCAGTTAACAGAACCAGGCAGCACATACAAACCGAATGGGCCCACTCTTAAAACAGTGACCTTTTCCCTGGAGAAGAGTCCCTCCGTTGAGCTCCGCTGATGCTAACATAACCAAATGCCAGCAGGTGCCTGGAGTCCTAAGCGGTAGTGTTGACAACACCTACTCAGAGCAGGGTTGGATATCATGTTGGTAAAAATACCAGTCTGTCCGGAGCCCTGTCCTCGCTGTTGCCCTGTCATAACCCAGAGACAGTCCAACAACAGCTACCAGCATTGCTAACACTGGTGATAGCGACTGACTCCCCACCCCCGGAAAATAAAGGCAGGTATATTATTCCCCATTCCATTTTACAAATAACCATCATTGTGAGAGAGGACCTAGCCGTTCACTTCCACATATGTTTTGCTTCTATCAGCCAAAACAGGAAGCAGAATCTAAGTTAGTTGACGTGTCCAATATTGCATAACTTAGCCAAACAAATGTTAAAATAGTGGGCCACATATTCTGGTGTCAATGGACACTTGTAGGCCTTAAGAATTCCACTGGAGCCACTCAGGACATGGACAGGTGTAAGATTCATTGAGTTTAAAGCCAGGAGGGACCATCTAGCCTGACCTCCTATCTAACAGGCCATTCAATTTCACCAAGTTACCCCTGTATTGAGCTCAATAACTTTTGTGGGGCTGAAACATGTCTTCCTGAAAGGCAGCCCATCTTGATTTGAAGCTATCAAGAGATGGAGAATCCACCAGTTCCTTTGATGGTTTGTTCTAATGGATAATCACCCTCATTGTTCAAACTAGTGCCTTATTTCTAACTTTGAATTTGTCTGTCTTTAACATTTGGTTTTTGTGTAACCCTGTGCTTTGGTGGCTACTCCTTTTAAACGCTAGTAGTCCGTTTAGTTTCAGTTTGGGGTTTTCCCCCCAGAAGAGTGGAGCAGCTGTCCACTGAGCAGGGGGTTGGACTAGATGACCTCCTGAGGTCCCTTCCAACTCTGATAGTCTATGATTCTATGTCTAATGACAGGTTTCAGAGTAGCAGCCGTGTTAGTCTCTATTCGCAAAAAGAAAAGGAGTACTTGTGGCACCTTAGAGACTAACCAATTTATTTGAGCATGAGCTTTCGTGAGCTGCAGCTCAGTTCATCTAAGGTGCCACTAGTACTCCTTTTCTTTCTATGATTCTATGACTCCAGCGGGGACTAGCAGGAAAACAAAGAAGGGGGGAAAAGAACACGAACTCTTGGAGCATGCTCAGTAGGACATCTCCAAAGGTGTGGCGGGGGCAATTCCACTCCCAAGTAGAAAGAAAAGAAGGCGCCAAACTCTTCTGTTAGTCCCAGCAGACCAAGAGGGAGGGAGACATACCAGAGGGAAGGTGGAGAACTTTGCCCAGAGGGCTGGTGCTCACAGGCCTGCTTTTACTAATTGCAGCAAGCAGATAACCACAAGAACTGGGTGCTTGCTGCTTGTTCAGATCAGGAATGTGGGATGACACTAATTCCAAATCAGTGGTGCATGTTTTAAATGCATAGGGTTCGTGGCCTGTGTACCTTTTGGTACGGAAGAAATCTGTATGCTTTTTACTACACAAACAAAAACAAAAAAAAGTGTTTGCTGTATTGATGTTATGGTAAGATTGCATGTAGATTTGAGGAGTCTTAGTTAATCCTCAGATTGTTCTCTCCTAAAAAAAAGAATGTTTGTTTCTTAGTCTAAGCAGCTTTATTACATTGTGGTGTCCTTATTCCAAACTGACTCAACTCAGGGTATGGGCACATATGACTGTCCAAAATATGCATATTTATCATGTGTTATCCACAGGTGGGATTTCTGCTGTCAAACCAGACTGAACCTGCTCACTATTCCTGCAGTAAAACGGAATTAATATGAGCACTTGTGTGGTCAAAGTGTAGTACAGAGGTTCTCAAACTGTGGTCCAAAAGTTCCATTCAGGTGGTCTGCGGATAGTTCCCTCTAAGGTGCGCGCCTGGATGGAGAGAATGAAGGGCCACCCACCTAATTAGTGAAGCCGTGCAGGCGTGGCTCCACCAATTAGGTGCCTGGACCCTGGAGAAGACACACATGTAAGGTGAGGTGGTGGCCTTGGGGTGAATAGGGGTAGATGGGAGGGGGCGGTGCGGTGAGAAGAGGGGGTGGGGGGATTTGGGATGTGCAGGGCTGTGGCAGCCAAAGAAAGTGGCGACTTTCCCCAGCTCCAGGACTGCGGCCGGGGAGAGACAGCCCTCCTTCCCAGCCCCAGCTCAGGGGCTGCTGCAGCGGGGCAGAGAGGGGGAGACCCCCATCCTTCCCAGCCCCAGCTCCGTGGCTGCCGCGGCAGTGGAGAGAGGGCACATTCACCACATTAGAAAGGTAAGACTACTGATATTAAATTATGTGTTGTGTGCTTTTATTTGTAGAACAAAAATGTTAATTATTATTTTTTTTTATGTAGCGCTTTTATCCAAAGCCCTTTACAGTCGTTAGCTAATGACACAAACAACATTTGGAAAGGTCATTAAGTGGTCCACTGAGACCCACAGCGATTTTCAAGTGGGCCGCAGGAAAAAAATAAAGTGTGAGAGCCACTGGTGTCATAGGTTACACACATTTCAAAGTTGTGGCACCCAAACAGAGACAGCGCCATCCTGTGGTTGAAGATTATATATTGTTGTGACCATGGAACTTGCCAGCTTGATCCAGGCAGCTCAGTTAGATTGAGTGGGATTCACCCTACTGTTACAAATGGGGAATTGACCCAGGCGTCAAGGGACAGTAACCGGACTTAAGAGAATGCAAGGTACCATACAAGGTACTGCACCTTGAGAATGTAGTGAGACGTGTGCAACTCAAATGGTAAGAAAAAATGTAAACAGATCAAACTGAATGGTAAATGGAATGTGATTCCCATTATACTGAGAAATTCCCCGAATACTTCTGAGGACAGGTGTCCAAAAGATGACAACTCGTTAATTGCAGGAGCAATTCCAGACGGGGTGACCAGACAGCAAATGTGAAAAATCGGGATGGGGGTAGGGGGGGTAACAGGAGCCTATATAAGAAGAAGACCCAAAAATTGGGACTGTCCCTATAAAATCGGGACATCTGGTCACCCTAATTCCAGAGGACAGTACAATCAATACTAACCAGGCAGGTAATGCTGCACACAGTTTTCAGACCAGTATGCTTCTAGAGAGAAGTTCTGTTACCACATTTTCTATTCCAGAGGGGGTAAATAAAGTGCTAGTAGAACATGTGGTAAAATCTACAGAGGGTGTTGCCACCTACCATCATATATATCCTGCAAACTGAAGTGCTTCTCAGGCCATTTGCCACAACCCAACGGTGAGGTAGATTTTGATACTTGGAAGCTAGAAATATAACAGCTACTAAATGATCCTGAATTGTCTTCCAAGGGAAGGCACAGGAAGTTAATAGAAAGCTTGTCATCTCCAGTGAATGAAGCTTTCAGTTGAGGGAAATCTACCCTGCAGAACAATGTTTGTTTGATAGAGCTGGAAAAGAAGAATGGCCCTGTTTCCAGCAGTGATGAAGTGTATGCACAATTCCTAGAGACCTTTCAGAAGTCCATGGAAATACTCTCCAAGTATTTGGGAAGATTAAACAGCTATTTGAGAAGGGTAATGGAGCAGAAGACATGCATGCAAGAAACCCTTAATGTACAGCCAGTAAAGCAATTTATTCATAGATGTTGGGATGAGTCCCTGATTACACAGCTCCATCTGAGGGACCATTTGGATACTACTGCTATTTCCAAGATATCTTACTCTCCAACCGCTGTACAAAATCCACCACTTGGAAGAAGAGAGAGCAAAGAAGGATTATGCAGCTGGGGGGAAAAATAACAGTCTAAGCCTAGCAGTTCATGCCATACCATAGAAGCTAACCACAGCTCAAGTTCTGCCGCGGGAGACTCAAAGAAAATGGAAAACCGTTCAACTCAGCTTGAAGGAGCCACAGTTAAGTTAATGGAAGGACCTGCCATTCCAAAGAGGCAGCATTCAGCAAAACAGGATAGCTCTTTGAAATTTCAGGAAACACCCTCAGCTGCTGAGGAATCTATTGCAAACAATCCCTGGTTCTTCTGTTCCAACTGTGCTAAGGAGGATCATTCTAGGGTGAGTTAGTACAGTGGCTCTCAACCTTTCCCGACTACTGTACCCCTTTCGGGAGTCTGATTTGTCTTGTGTACCCCCAAATGATTGGTAAACATTTTATAGGACTGTCAGGGGAAGTGAAGATCTCTACCCTGAGGGCTGATGCTCACAGGCCTGCTTTTACTAATTTCCGCAAGACTATAACCACAAGAAGAAGGATAGCAGCCTATTCAAAGAACTGGGTGCTTGTGGTGTGTTCAGCTCAGGCCTGTGTGGTGACAAATGCCAAAGCAGTGGTGCGTGTTTTAAATGCGTAGGATTTGTGGCCTGGATACACTTTGGTACTGAAGAAATCTGTATATTTGATACCGCTTCCACAGTACAGTATTTGTATAATAAGATTGCATTTAGATTTGAGGAGTCTTAACCCGCAAATTGTCCTCTTGTAAATGAAGTTTTTTTGTTTTTTTTTAATTCTGACCAGCTTTACTACATTGCAGTATCTTTATTCCAAACTGGAGCAACTCAGGGTATGGGCATCCAGAAGTGTCCAAATTTGCAGATTTATCTTGTGGTGTTATCCACAGTGGGAGGTCTGCTGTCATACCAGACTGAACCTGCTCACTATTCCTGCTGTAAAATGGAGTTATAGTGGGTACTTGTGTAATCCAAGTGTAGTGGGTTACAATTGGTTCTTGCTGCTAGATTAAAATTCCCCTTAGATCTCAGTATCTTCTCTCCCCATGAACTTTCTTACCCACTAATCAAGTCACCTTTCAGGTTTTTTATTTTTATTTTTTATAAGCTAAACAGGCATTTCCTCTAGTCCTTGAATCACTGTTGTGGCTCTTTTCTGCACCTTCTCTGATTTTTCAACATCCTTTTTAAAATGTTGACACCAGAAGTGGATGCAATATTGTAGTATCGGTCTCACCAGCGCAAAATACCCAGGGAAAAGTCACCTCCCTGCTGCTTCTAACTATTATGTATGCTACTATTCAGATGCATCTGAAGAAGTGGGTTTTTTACCCACGAAAGCTTATGCCCAAATAAATCTGTTAGTCTTTAAGGTGCCACCGGACTCCTTGTTGTTTTTGTGGATACAAACTAACATGGCTACTCCTCTGAGGGCAACAAGGGAGAGATCTGAACCACCACTGATTCTTATCCAGACAATATAGAGGAGAATCTAACTATATTACATACAAATGCAATATATATTGTATAATAATAATAAATTTAAGAACCAAGCCTTATCAAATCTTAACATCTTATACTATCTAACATTATGAAATTATTATACAGTCTTTGAATTCATTTATTTTTTAAATTTTCCATCATGACCCTTCTGGAATGACTATCACAAGCATTGTGAAGTGTGGAAGTCTAGTTTATATATAAAACTCCCAGCAGGGGTTGTTTATCTCTATCACCTCCCACAGGGAACTAAGATGCCCTGGCGGATGTAAGGAAAGCCCAGTTCCCACAGTGAAAGGGGAGCACGGGACAGTGAGGGAAAGCATAGGGAGGGACATGGGGATAAGAGAACGAAACAGATGTTAAATATTGTTACATGTTTTAATAGAAAGGGTTATATTAAGTGCTAGGGCTCCATTGAAGAATGTACAGTAAATCAGACTCAGTATCAGGTACAATACAGGTGTGAAAAGAGGAAAAGCAGTAAATTTGGGAGTTCTAAAATGACTGTGTGTGTGTTGGGAACTCTGTCCCAAACATCTGATTTAAGGAAGAGGCACAAATGTAATGGAGACCTGGCATCTGCCTGGGGAGGTGTTGCTGCTGTCAAGAAAGGGTGAGGTACTGGACGAGAGTAGACATGGTACCCACCACGGGTGAGTATGTTAATGTCATGACAATTAACGTAAAGCGGATGAGCAACCCAACAAAAAGAAAAAGGGTATTTAGCTCCCAGAGGATTTTCCTCGTAAGATTTATTTACAGGAAACAGGCAGACAAGTACCTGATGACTTCTTGGACACAGCTACCATGTGTCTTACTAGAGCAATCTAACTGAAGAGGGCTCACACTACTTTTTGCTAAACACATCTCTTTATTGTTTCAGCACAACTCATAGATCAGGGGGCAGATACATTTTAATTAAGGGGTCCTTGAAAGGTAAACTTCTCACCTTTGCCAATGTATATGCTCCCAATCCAGGGCAAGCTTTTTCTTAAAATCAGGTTTTTATAGAGATTTAGGAGATGTTAGGGGAGGGGATATTCCAGGGGGATTTAATGAAGTGCTTAATCCTTTTTAGGATTGATCGAATGGACATAGAAGGCATTTCAGAGGAGCAAAGGCAAATTTGTCGCATCACTTAGAAAGTGAGGATCTGGTGGACATCTGGCGGGAGATGAATCCAGATGTCAGGGGATATACATATTCTGCTACTCATGGATCTTATCCAGAATTTATATTATTTTTTGTTTCTAGGACCTTGGCTAGGTTGGTCAAAAAGGGAAAAAACAAAAACTATTCTTGTTTATAACTTGGTTTGACCATGCCCCTGCATATGTTGGATCAGAAGATTGGGACTCAATGGAAAAACAAAGAGCCCGCCATTGAATAGAGCTTTGTTGTATGATCCTCTTAGAATTCAAGAGCTGGAAGAATATTTCCAGAAACGTTTAGAAGGAAGTGATCAGCAAAAGTGTTCTCTGGGATTATGGACAGGCAGTAATACGGGCGAATCTCATAAATAAAGCATCAGATCTCAGAAAAGTGAGAACTCCTTGAAGAAGACAGTTTGGTTAAAGAACTTCCTGCTTTGAAAGGTAGACAACCCTATGGGATCTAAAAGTGTGTGTGAGAAAATAATTGAGATAAAAGGGAAGATTAACTTGTTACAAACAGGTAAAGCTGAGCAAATACTTAGCTATAGTAAACAAAAATATTATGGACAGGGAAACAGAGCTGATAGGCTTTTAGCCAGAAAGTTAAAAAAGAAATAGGATAAACCAGGCATCACTCTGATTAGAAATAAAAAGTGAGATTTAGTAACTGGCATCAGATAGATCTCTGAAACCTTTGCTAATTTTTTCCATTTTCCATTTTGTAGGCTCAGAACATCTAAATCCCGAACTTGTAAATAAATATTTGACAAGTTTGAAACTGCCTCAGCTTTCAGAGGATGCCATGGCAGCTCTTGACAGGCAAATTGCTGTAAAGGAAGTTGAAAAGGTATTTAAGAATTTAAAATCCAGTATAACTCCTGAGGGGTTTCCTGGGGAATATTGTAGAATTCTCAAGTAAGTTTTGGTACCTATTTTAACTAAATTGGTTAATAGTATACTTCAGGGGAATGAGATTTAAGATTCATGGGAAAATGCAAAAATGGTGAGGAAATTATTAAAAAGAGAACCATCTTTGACAAAATGCCAGCTTCCTAGAAATCCCCTGAAATACTCATTAATGCTCTAGTAAAGGATCGGCATTTTAAACAGAAAAACAATTTAGTTTATTTTTCATTGTTAGCACTTAGACTATATTACACATACTGGAAAAATGTAACCCCCGCCTCCTATGGAATTGTGGTATAGTAAAATATGGACCATTCTTGTAATGGAAACGCTTTCACACCAAGTGTGTACACAAGCGTTGCACCCAAAAGAGGACAGGTATTTAGAAATATAACATACTCAGAGGAGGTGGGTTCTCCAGTCAGCAAGTCAGAATCTTTATTCAGGATTTCTGAGTAGAAACTGATCCAGAACAAGCAATGTCTGATTTAGTATGTTAATGTTTTATTGTAATTTTGCTTTACTAAAGAATTAGACAACAACAAACCCACCTCCATTTGATGAGGATTACCCATGGACAACTATTCTGACATCTGTCAGTTAGCCAATTTGTGACCTATTCAGAGTGCGCTTTAAAATAAAAGCACGAGACACTATCAATAATTAGAATGTCTCAGAGTACTAAGTCAAAACATCTTACAAAAGTCTACAGTTACCTTTATCAAACAAAGACCGGAATCAATTTGTTTGGCAAAACCTATTTTCTGTAAAACCAGGTTGACTGGCATTAATTATGTTCCTACCCTTTAACTGATCACTAATTGAATCCTGTATCACCTTTTCCATAAGACCATAATTTGCCCCAGTCACTCTAGAACTGCATTTAACTAGATTACAAACTACAGTATAATTCTCTTTTAGAGACAGTCCTGTTCCTACCACCAGAATAACATCATTGTATCCCAGTTCATAAGTGGGTTCCTTTATAATTAGTATTTGATCATATTAGACTACAGCAAGTTATTCTCTCATCTCTTTAACTTGGCATGTTTGACTCCTTTGGGTTAACATGAAATAAAGAGTTACTAAAATAGATCTTGACTTAATATTTTTCGTCTTAAGCTTAGTTACTGGATTAAAAAGAAAGTTCAGGCAAGGCATAGTTTAATATGAATAATACTGATTCATAGTTTATAATATCAGAAGGGACCATTGTGATTTGACCTTCTGAAGGACATGGGACTTCCCTGAATTAATTCCTGTTTGAACTAGAGCACATCTTTTAGAAGGGGGAGGGGGGAAAAAAAAGACATCCAGCTTGCTTTAAAGTTCTCCAGTGATGGAGAATCCACTACAACCTGTGATAAATTGTTCCCGTGGCTTACCCTTAAGGCATGTTTTCCAATCCTTTAATCATTCTTGTAGATCTTCCCTGAATCATCTCCAATCTCTCACCATCCTTCTTGAATTGTTGACACCAGAACTGGACACAGTATTCCAGTAGCAGTCACACCAGTGCCAAAAACAGTGGTAATATAACCTCCCTATTCCTTCAGGATTCCCTTGTTTATATACCAAAGGATCACATGATCCCTTTTGTTCAGCCAATTATCTAACATGACCCCTAAGTCTTTACTGAGTCACTGCTTCCCAGGATAGATTCCCCCCTGCCTCATGTGCTTATGGCCTACATTCTTTGTTCCTTGATATAGGATTTTACATTTGGCCATATTAAAATGCACGTTGCTTGCTTGTGCCCAAACTACCAAGCAAGCCAGAGCACTCTGCTGCAGAGGCTTGTCACTGCTTCCCCAAACATTTACTCATCCGCAAACTTTATTGGTGGTTTTTTTATGCTTTCTTGGTCATTGATAAAAAATGTGAAATAACATAGGGCCTAGAACTGATCCCCAAGGGACACGACTAGAAACATATCTGTTCAACGATGATTCTTATTTACAATTCATTTTGAGACCTATCAGCTGGCCAGTGTTTAATGTATTTAATATGTGCCATGTTAAATTTGTAATGTTCTATTTTCTTAAATACAAATGTTCGATGGTACCAAGTCAAAAGCCTTACAGAAGTCTAAATATATTACGTCAACACTATTACCATAATCAATCAAATGTGTAATCTCATAAGAAATATCAAGTTAGTTTGACAGAGTCTATTTTCCATAAATCCATGGGATTTTTTGCATTAATTATATTACCCTTCTTCAATTCTTTATTAATCAAATCCCATATCAATTATTCCATTATTTTGTCTGGGGTTCAATGTCAGGCTGACAGACCTCTAGTGACAGGGGCCATCCTGTTTATCCTTTTAAAATAGTAGTATACTACCTTTCTTCCAATCGTCTGGAACTTACCCAGTGTTCCAAGACTTATTGAAAAATCAATATTAATTGTCCAGAGAGCACCTCAGCCAGCTCTTGTAGGATCCTTGGATACAGATTAAATAGGCCTGCTGATTTAAAAAATGTCTAACTTAGCAGCTACTAAACATCCGCCTGAGTTACTTTCCATTCTGACAGTATTTCATTACTGTCATCTTCTACGAATACATTATCAGCCTTTCTCCCCAAATTCAGAAGCGATTCACTGAATTCTTCTGCTTTTTCTGCATTACTGACAGTTCTACAATTTCCATCTAGTAATGGATCAATACTATTGTTAGGATTCCTATTGTTCTCCATGTACTTAAACTCCTTCTAACTGTACTTAACTCTTCTGGCCAGTGATCGCTCCTTGTGTCTTTTTGCTTCCCTTATCAGTTTTCTACAATTCCTAGCTTCTAATATATATTCCTTGCTATTAATTTCTCCTTTTTTCCATTTGTGTTTTATATATGTATATATATATATATATATATATATATAAATCTGCTTTCACTCCCCCCCCCCCCCAATCTGGTTCATTTTTAACTGCTGTAGTCTTCCTTCCAGAAGATTTTTGTGAATTTTGGAGCATTTTAAAAATGTTCTTAAACAGTTCCCAGTTGTTCAATTCGCGTATTCATGTTCTTTCTCCCACCTCATTTGACTCAATTGTTTTCAGCTTTGTGAAATTAGCCCTTTTAAAGCACCAACTATTTTATTAGTGGTTTGGACTTGATTGTATTGGTTGCGTGCAAACAGAATAAAGCCCTGATCACCTGCACCTCAGCAATCACTAATTTTTAGTTCTGTGTTCAATTTCTCTTTATCTGTCAAGATGAGGTCCCGTATCAATGAGATCTTCCGGATGCACATAAGTTCACAAGGGAAAGATTGCAAGAGGCAGTTCCATTTTTGATGCAAAGCTACTATTTTGTTCCTAGGTAAGCAGCTGAAGACTGAGGATTAAGGATGGCTTGACCGACCCCATATATTTGAAAGGTTCTTGCCAAATTAACACAGACAGACCAGCAGTCAGCCACACATTCACTCTTCCAATGCATTATCTTGGAGAACTGGCCAACTCCACACAAGGGAAGATTTGGCCAGAATAATGGTTAGGAGACCAGACAGGTGGCACTTGTGATACATGCATGTATAACTGGACAACATGGCTTGGTGCATATACCTCTTAGTCTTGAACCAGTGCAAGAGGAATAATTTTTCTGCCTGTTCCTTGGTGCACGGTGGTTTGGCTGTGGAGGATTCACCATAACTCTCCCTCACCAAGCTGAATCTAACCTCCACCCTGGACATAACCTCCTTCCTGGGATTAGTGACCTGCATGCTTGTCTGCACTGCTGAATCCGAGTAGGCTTGGCCTGTGTGCAAAGAGTAACTGTATGGACTGAAAAAAGAACAGGAGTACTTGTGGCACCTTAGAGACTAACAAATTTATTAGAGCATAAGCTTTGAAGTGAGCTGTAGCTCACAAAAGCTTATGCTCTAATAAATTTGTTAGTCTCTAACGTGCCACAAGTACTCCTGTTCTTTTTGCGGATACAGACTAACACGGCTGCTACTCTGAAACCTGTACAGAGTGAGCAGATGACCCCATTCGTTTTGTCAGTATATAATTCTGCTGTCACAGACCCGTGTGTTGTAAAATGGATAAACGTATTAGGGAGGTGGGGAAGACAGTTTTTACTGTTAAAATGAAGACATGGACATTTATGTTAATGACTTGTTTTAATGTCTATTATTCAGACCTTAAACTTCAAAGCAATGGTAATAGACCAGGCCGGATTAAAGTTCTTATTTTAAGTTCTTTTACAAGGTGCAACTGTCAAGTTGTGTGAAGTGAAGAAAGCTCCTCCCACTAGAAATACAGCTGATGGGACCCTCCAGGTTAAAAATTCAGGGAGGAATCCATTACACAGCAGTTGGTTTAGTCTTCTTTAGAACCTAGTGAAGCATCATTCTGAGAAAGTTGATAAGTTAATATTTATAACGGATTTTGGAAAAATATAGAGCAGGCTAAGTGCCAAGTCTGAAGATGCTGACACATTCATCTGACTCCAGGAGCAGAGAATTTAAGAATCACACTATATATTGCGAGACTCACAAGAAACCCATGCAAGAGTTGGCAACATGGTTCAGAGTTTGGAAGAATAGTTGGTTCTCAGCAGATCACTCTCTTGTTAGGTGAGGAGAAAGTGATGTGGCTTGTCCAATGTAGTGCATCTAGGCAAGAGGTGGGCAAACTACGGCCTGTGGGCCACATCCGGCCCCTGAGCTCCTGGCCGGGGAGGCTTGCCTCCGGCCCCTCCCCCGCTGTTTCCCCTCCCCCGCAGTCACGCTGCCACATGGGCAGTGGGGCTGCGAGCTCCTGCCACTCTGAGCAGCATGGTAAGGAGGCGGCACGTGTGCGGCGGTGAAGGGGTTGGGTAGGCAGTCCCGGGGGGCAGTCAGGGGAGAGGGAGCAGGGGGCGGTTGGATGGGGCGGAGGTTCTGGGGTGGGGGGTCGGGGAACAGGGGGGGTGGGATAGGGCGTGGGAGTCCCGGGTGGCCTATCAGGGGGCGGGGGTGTGGATAGGTCAGGGTAGTCAGGGGACAGGGGGGGTTGAATAGGGCGTGGGATCCTGGAGGGGGCAGTTTGGGGTGGGGGTCCCAGGAGGGGCAGTCAGGGGACAAGGAGCGGGGGGGTGGGGGTTGGATGGAGGGAGTTCTGAGGGGGGCAGTCAGGGCATGGGAAGTGGGAGGGGTGAATAGGGGCAGGGGCCAGGCTGTTTGGGGGGGGCACAGCCTTCCCTACCTGGCCCTCCGTACAGTTTCACACTCCAATGTGGCCCTCGGGCCAAAAAGTTTGCCCACCCCTGATCTAGGCCCATGTCAGTACTGGGAGTTGTGTTTAGTCTCTGATTTGGAGTGTAAGCTTTTGGGGCGGGAGCTCTGTCTGTCTCCAAATACCTTTATGCTGTAGAAATAAAATCCATGAGCAATGCCATCTCTCTGAACAGAAAGGCCACGGACATTGTGCATGAAAAGCAGCAAGCAGCGTTCTGGCAGTATAACAATAAGACCTCACTGAACCCCAGGCACGGCTGTCACCCACCTAGGAGCCACCCCATCTTTCATTCCCCTTTGCTTCTGCTCCGTATGCAGCAAAACGGCAGCCTTCAGGAAGCTTGCTCACTACGCCTGCCTTTCATTAATTCAAAGCCACGCTCCACTAACCTGCATCGCACAAACGGAACAAAGGGCAACAGCTTCGCTTGGCCTCTGACACCTGCCCACACACCATAAAGAAGTCAGTTCATTCCTCAGCTGTTAAACAAATGTTGATCTGAACTGTGTGCCTGTTGCCTCCTTACTCTCTAAAGTCTTTGGCTTGTCAAACGTAGTTCGGCAGCTCAAAGCTCAAGTTAACACAGCCTGAAGTAGCAGTTATTCCCCACCCCCTTACCAGAAGCCCAGTTGTGCATTTGTACCTCCGGAGTGTAAGTCTTTGCATTAACTGTATCCTGATTTTCCAGTCACGGGATCGCCCTGAACAATTCCGCTATATTACAGCTTTTTGATTAATGGAGCACAAACCAATACCATGGAACAAAACATGGTGCAAAGCCCTGTAGTACGATTCCAGCTGGCAGCCCTCTGGAGAGACAACCACTTTAATGTGCCTCTGCACTTTCCAGTATACTTCCTTCCTCCCCGACTATTAAAGGCCATCTCCCTTCTACAACTGATCATTCTGGCTTTTGGATAGCTGCTAAGACTTTTCACCACACAGGATTTCTGTTTCTTTACACATTCGTGCATCTGCTCAGCTAATTCTACAGATCAAAGACAAGGAGTGACCTGGTGCAGCTGGGCCAAGTAGGTCTTTGGTCCGCTGAGGTGCGCAATGCATGGCTGCTCACTTGCCGAGTCATGGCCCTAGAGGACTAGGCCACCTGTGCTGACAACGCTAGACACAAAAGCTGATTTGACGCAAAGCAAGCGCACCAACTAGATCTTTTCACTTGACTCCTCCCTACAAACACTAAATTATATTTCTATATTTATTTCCTCAAGCCCAGACCCAAGGACCAAGGTGAAGGGGAAAGAAAAGTACTTGGGTCCTTGGTATAAGACACTGCAGGTACTGTCACTGTAGATATGAAACTAAAAATGCCAAGAAAGCCACGCTGGTCCCTGTTAGAACAGTAATGTGGGAAACCAGAGACCCCACTTTATGGCCAAAGAGAGATCCGAAAGGATCACAGATAAATAAAAGATTGTAAAGCTGAGCCAGCTTTACATGAAAGAAAATTAACTTCCAGCACAGGGCACTTCCCTGCTCTTTTCCCTTAGAGCAGGTTTGCTTTTTCCTGCAGAGATGGGCGCAGAGGGCGAGCCCATGACATCGCACAGGGTTTCTTGATTAACCACTTATTGCCAATGTCCCATTTCAGCGGCCCCACGACCGAGGCTTGCGTCCCTGCAAACAGCCGGGTGGCCACCTGTAGATGCCTGGGACGCGCCGGCCAAGGAAATCCGCTTCGCCGGCGCCGGCCCGGGGGGTGAGCTCTGGAGGGGGCAGACAGCGTTGCTTTCCCCCCACCCCCCAAAGGGTTTTTTGTAGCTCTCCCTACTAGCCCAAGGCCGAAGGCTCTCAAGTGATCCCTCACCCCTGTTCCTAAGCCAGGAAGGGAAGCAGGAGCCAAGCAGGGTCCTCCCCGCTGGAAAGCCAGCGAGCCACCGCAGGGCCAGCTCTCCACGGGTTAAAAATGCAGCACGCGTTGAAGCTCATTAGGCGAGGAAGCAACCGCGGGGTGCGGGTGCAAAGCGGCTTCCCCCTTCCCCCGGGGGCTGGAATAACGACCGCCCCCCCCCCACCCCCGGCCCGGCTTGGCGGCGCGAAGGGGCCAGGGCCGGGAGCCAGCCGCGTCCCCGCGGCAGCGCCCGGAGCCTGCCCTGGCCCCGGGCAGAGCCGCGCGAGAGACGCCCCAGCTGGCCCGGGCAGCTCCTTACCTTGGTGACCGTCATGCAGGAGCGGTGGGGCCGAGTGAGCGGGCTCCGCGGTGGAAGCGGGCAAAGCAGACCAGGCAGGGGACGCTTTGCCTGAGTGACGCTGCTGCTGGGGCTGTTGGGGTTTGGGGGGGTTTTTTTTGGGTTGGGTTTTTTTTTCCTCTCCTTTTTTTCCTCCCCCTGCAGAGGAATCGGCGTCAGTGGTTACAGGAAGAGCTAGGGACCAGCCCTCCTCCTCCTTCGCCTCCTCCCTCGCGCCCTCCCTCCCAGGCAGGCTGATGAAGCTGTCCTTGCACTGATGGCTGCAGTGATGTCAGCGTGTGCATTTATAATGGATGAGCCTCCTTCTCTGCAGACAGGAAGGGAGGGGAAAAGTGGGGGGAACAGCCAAGGAAACTGAAGGGAATGGGGGAAAGAAGCAGCGATTGACGGTGGTGGTGCACAGTCCAGAAGGGAACTCGCTGCCATTCAGCGTCAAGGGGGAAAGGCCCTTTTCTTTGACTCTGTGAAGAGCACAGAACTTCCCAGTGCCAGGGGACAGGACATGGGGAGACACCTGCTGAACTTCTTAAAGACGGTTTGCGGCGGGCGTGTCATTCCCACCACTGGGTCTCTAAGAGACTAGGACAATGGGCCCCTTATGAACAGATGCATGGAAGGATAAGTCCAGCACATGCCGCAGCCACTAAACTGACTCAAAGAAAGTCATGTCACCATTTAATTATTAATGCAACAGATTAAATGTGAGGATTGTATTGTTATGGCCTCTTAGCAGGCTTGGAAGGATTCATTTTTAATGGGTAAATCTCGACTTCACCCCATACCCATGCAAAGCAGCTAAAGAATATTTCCATCCATTAATAATCAAAAGTTACAGCGAGGCAAAGTAAGAAAAATGCTGTTTGAGAACTTAGAGTTTGGTTTGAAGATATTTACTTGGCATGTTTTGATATGTGAGGTTGACAATTTATGTTTTGGCAGTTATAAACCTTTAACTTTTTGAATCTCAGTTGACTGTCATTTAAGTAATTATTGTCTGACTGCCCTGGAACTTCCCACAACTCTGAACATTTAAATCAAAAATTTAAAAGTGCTTAAAAATGTATGTCACCCCTCAAAATTATCTCATTAAAAAACCCTGAATTCTGCCAAGCCTACCTTTTAGGCTTTTTTTTTTTTTTTTTTTTTTTTTTTGCTACTTAGATTTGATTCAGAACACAAATAGATGAAAACAATAACCAATGTCTGTGACCAGACATCATTAACTATGACAGTCAATTCCCACACAGCCACCTTAACTGGTGACTTGTGATTTATGTAAAGCTTATAGTGATCAATAAGAGGGAGTGTTACGGTTCAGAGCAACAGTCACTCAGACAACAAAAATGCTTGTTTATAAACATCATACAAAGAGCCAGACACCTCAT